CAAATATAAAGAATATATTGGAGTACTTAAAAATTTTTACTCTCTAAATTACAAAAAAATCCCTTTAAAAATAGAGTATCTTGGAGATGTTCTAATGACATTTCTTTGATGAATTTTTTTAACAATAAATTCTTTATAAAACTAAATCGGGATAAAGATGAATGATGTATAAGAGGTGTTTGGTATGTCTTACCGAACATTATAGTATTTAATTAACTTTTTTCTACTATAAATCTTTCCAATATTGTACACTTCCTATTACAAACAAGTCGATAGTGGTTCTCTACAATGTACCAATCGAGAAAACCTAGTTTAAATTAGTAGTATATGTTACGTTGAAACCAGCAAGCGTACGAGATCATTATACAAATAGTAGAAATAGTGAGTTTCGAGTTTATCATTCCCATGAGGAATAATGTTTAAAATATAGTTCAATAGTTAGTATTAAATTTGAGTGAGTAGTGACATTAAAAGAGTGATTTTGTGGTTGTTTATACTACTTCAATACTAATAAAGCAAGTAAATTGTGATTTTATAGAATGTGAATACTTTTATTGGATTCATGATCCCCTTATTTCCATTTATTTCAATTATCAATTAATAATTTAGTTAATTTCATGCATTTTTTACAACTGATAACGCTAATATGTTAAATTCTCTTTTCAAAAATACATCAACCTGTGATTAACACGACACGATCATATTCCTAGTTCGAATTCATATGAAAATCATGCATTTAGTTTATGTTATTTATATGATTGCACATGACATATATATTATTCTTAATACTCATTGTTCATGTATTGATTTTATCGCGTTCTAAACTTATTGTGAGTATTTCTACACTAAAACGAGTAATTAATTATTCAATTGATGGCCAAATAATTAAATAGTGCAATGAGAATGCAAAATCAATCCAAAAATAATAAGAAATACCTAAATTAATCGTCTTGAATTGAAATAAAGAAAATAGAGTTCTTTAATCATCCAATACAATAGAAAAAACTTAGCTAATCATTATAATAATTAAATTGTACAAGAGTTTGTAGAAAAATATCACCATGATAGAAGAAATATGGTCCACTTTCTTGAATGAAATCTTGATTTTGGATGGATAATCTTCAAGAATTTTGCACAATTCCCTTGATATTGATGATCTAACATCATTTTCCGCCTCCAAAATATGTTGAATCTATGAATTTTTAGGTCAAGGGAAGTCATCTTACGTTATGGTCGAGTTTTGGTATTTAAAGGATGCCAAAATATTGCATTGAATTGTTATAAAAACAAAAAAAGAAGAATCAAGTTTTTTCCCATTTAGGAAGCCTTAGGTGGATCACAAGAGGAGGGAGCACACATTTCCTCTGCACGCCTAGATGCGTGCTTAGGCTTATCTCGACCAGCTTTCAGTATTTCTGTCATAATTTTCTCTTCTGATATTCGATTAAGGTGGTTCAAAGTCTATTGAAAAGATAAATCAAAGGGATGCTATTCTTATAGAATTAACATTTCTCCAATAGAATGTAAATATGCCAAAAATGGGTTGCAATCTAGGAGTGAAAATTCGGAGCTTAACTTTTTTGGCTAAAAATTGATGTTTGATGATGCTTTGAGTATATTTCATCCATTTGACTTATTTTCTCATTCAATTGACCCCACCATTCTCGAATCTTCATAGTGAGACCCAACACAACTTTTGAGTATTTGTTCTTCAATCTTTGAACTTTGTATTTGCTTCTTTTTAGCCCTTTATCGTTCTTTCTTCCAACTCTTCATCCAAACATGAGTTTTTCCTAATAAAAAAAATCAATAACAAATTAGGCACCATTCCGTCCAAAGAATTAAAAAATATCATTATTTAGGACCCCAATAAATGTAGAAACTACACTTATTAAACCCTCAAACTTGAATCTTTATTTATTTTCAAACAAAACTAAAATCCAACTACAGAACAAACACGCAAATATGAGAAAATATTTAGCTAGCTAACTCGGTATTTTATCTCAGAATTGAAATCTTGATATTAAATCTAAGCACATATTTAAGATCACAATTCAGAAATCAAAATCTACTTTTTCAATGTAAAATCGAAGCGTGTGTGAAGAGTTAAACATAACATCATGAATTTACAAATTGTTTCGTTACCGACCCTTGATGGTCAAATACGTTCTTATCTTCACTCGTGAGATTCACACACCCTCAAACTTGTTCTTTTTGCTATTTTCAAGTATGTGATCTAACGTTGAATTTTATACTATCCTCACATCTCTAATTTAGGTAAATTTTATCAATTGCAATTTAACATGTCAATAAACAATGATTCTACATCAAGTTTGATTGCTTCAATCTCTAAAATTTAATTAAGCTAATAATCCCTTATCAAAAGATGAATTTTTCTAAACAAGTGTTTGAAACTTAACCAAAGTATTGGTGTGTCTTCTGTTTCATGTACATACTTTTTCTGATTTTTAATAATTTTTTTCTCAAATTTTTAGCACTTTTTTCTTTATTTGCAGCATTCTCTCTTTTAAGTTGTCTAAATGACTAACGTAACAAGGTTTAGGCTGATAACTCCCAAGTGAGTTGACTTTAGGGCAACATGTTTAACACTCTTATAGGCTTAATAATTCGAGTCATAAAGGTTACGAAGAGAAATTTCAAATAAAATGTGCTTTTTAATACATTGATTAGTGCAATAACCCTCATTAAAACACATATCCAAGTAAATCGATCTCTAATTTAAGACTTTCGCATAGTTTTATCCTATTACCCTTAGACAATCCACATAGAATTTTTAATTTCACACTTGGAATCCCCATTTATCTCAACATTTTCCAACAATAGTGAAATCTCTCAAATTATTCTAAATTTGGTCCAATGATGTAAAATATAGTGATTTTGGGTTTAGCATCTATGATCCACTATTTAAACTTATTCAATTATGAAATCAACTTATTCATATATGATGCTTAACTTAATTTATGTGCTCAATATATGTCAAACTTCACATTGAAAAGCAAAAATTAACTAAGCATGCAATCTATTCTTCATTCATAGATTAATTCATAATCCAATATATTCCTCATTACTAGTCAAGCCAACTAATTCACACAAACACACATCTAACTAAAAAGAAAATATTTTTGGAATTTTTCAATTTTTTTAGCAACACACAAAGAAACACAAAACAAAAGAAAACTCATGTTTTCCACCTCCAAATTTAAATTAGACATTGTGCTCAATGTCCTAAATCTTAAGTCTGTATATAAAAGGGGTGAGGAAGAAAATAAGAAAAGACTCACCTCATATGGCGTGTGATCCAATGGCTACCTTTTTTATTGCTTCTATTTTTCTCTTTGGCCTTGATTAGTTTAAGCATTTCGCGACTTCATGTTCCTACACAAAACGATCAAATAAAGAATTAAGGCTTCAAAACCTGTAACAAATGTTACTTAACTCAAATATCTAGTAAACCAACAAATGTCTAAAAAATCTAAGGGAAAACGAGTGAAAGATGATGATTTCCTAACTAAAACTAATAATTAATCTAAATTATCCTATGACTAGAAAGCATAATAAGTAAAATGGAAGAAAGATTGTGTTGCATCCTAATAAGCGCTTTGATTTAAAGACCTTAACTTCACTCTCGTTGTTTTTAGGCTTTTCATGGTGGCTTGAAAAGGAATTTTCAGTCCCGCACTTTATACTCTGATTGCACTTCCTTCTTTTATCTTTCATTCTCTACATGATCAAGTTTTCATTGTTGTCCCTACCAACAATTCTTCATTTGGCCTGCCCTTGTAGCTTTCCCAATGGTCCACTAGTTGGAAATCTTCAAAGTAGGAGGATTGCTTGATTGGATTCTCCGTGGTGAAGCTACCACTTATCTTCCATCCTCAGTACTATCTAATTTGTATTAAAATCCAGCAAGACCTGAGTTGTTGATAGGAATGGCCCTCCCAAGATTATTGGCATCTAATATGTATCTTCTATGTCCAGGATGATGAAGTCAGCTAGAAAAATGAAATCCTCTGCCTTGATAAGCATGTCTTCGACTATTCTATAGGGGGTGCTTCAATGATCAGTTCGCCAGCTAAAAGATAATAGATTCCGCCTTTGCATCTCCTAATCCCAATTTCCATTAAAGGGGCAAAGGAATCTCGATCATGTAAATGAGCATAACTTTTTCGATTGAAAATTGATATTTGATAATAATTTGTCTTCTTTCCTCATCCAATTGACTCTCACTACTCTCGAATCTTCATCGTGAGGTCCGATATGACTTTTGAGTATTTGCACTTCAATTCCCGAACTTTGGATTTGCTTCATTTTAGCCATTTATAGTTCTTTCTTCCAATTCTTCATACAAACATGAGTTTTTCGTAATAAAAGCAATAAATAACAAATTAGACACTAATCCGTTCAAAGAATAACAAAATATCATCGTTTAGTACCCCGAATAAGTGTAGAAACTACACTTATCAATATATTAATTGATAATATAATAGCTTAGATATGTTTTTCAAAATTTATGAATGATTATAAGAAGTGGGTTTCAAGGAATATGTGGCTAAAAAGTGAGTAAACGTTATGAATCTTATGAAATTTTTGGATGAAAATAGAGTCTCACTAAATTATAATCAATAATAAGTTTCCGTGAACGTGGGCTTAATTGAAAATTCGCAAAAATGTGTGATGATTGAGCCTAGTTTGGTAATTTGTCTTTATTTAAAAAATAAAATTAGAGATATTATATTTAAGTGGAAGCTTTTTTTCCCTTCTTTTTCTTTTTTAGTTATAATCGTCACTTTCTTGGACAAGAAAATTACCCCCTTGATAGTATAAATTGGCCATGTGCTACACTAAGCCACATATCCCTCTATAGTTTCTAACGCCATCTCTCTTTGTGCATGAACATTTTCTCCATTTAAACTCTCTCTCAAATCCCTAATTCTATATCAATTTTCTTTACTCTTTCTCTCTATTTTCTTGAAACAGCAATGAAGGTTTTGTCCCACCCAGTTAATGTTCTTGACAATTTCAATTACATCAAACAGTGCAAATCCACATCAAGAAATTTCACTGCAATTCCCGTCGTTGATTTTTTAGATCCTGATGCGAAAACTGAGATTGTTGAGGCATGCAAAGAGTTCGGATTCTTCAAAGTGATTAACCATGGTGTTTCAATGGAGTTCATGGAGAAAATAGAGTCTGAAGCTGTCAAGTTTTTCAATTTACCCCAGGTAGATAAAGAAAAATCTGGACCTCCTCACCCTTTTGGTTATGGTGACAAGAAAATTGGTCCCAATGGTGATATGGGTTGGGTTGAGTATCTTCTCTTTGGAGCAGGCCCAGAAATCTTTTCAAAGAATGCTCAAGTGATTCTTCCCGGAATTTCAGAAAGTTTATGGTAAGACGAACCTTTCTTCTCTTCTATTTCTTCTTTGCATGGGAAAAATGATGAAAAAGTTAAAAGGGTATGTTTGGTATACAGTATTCGATTAAACTGAATTGAACTACCAGTTAATATATATTGTTTTTCTTGTTTGTGCATCTAGGTCTCTTGTGAATGACTATGTTTTAGCAGTAAGAAACATAATGTGTGAAGTTCTCGAAATGATAGCGGAAGAACTGAAAATAGGGCCAAAGGACGTTTTGAGTAGGCTGATAAAGGATGAGAAAAGCGATTTTTGTTTTCGGGTAAACCACTATCCACCATGCCCAGAGCTTCAATCATTGAATGGTTTGATAGGTTTTGGAGAACATACAGACCCACAAATATTATCTGTTGTAAGATCTAACAACACATCAGGCCTCGAAATATGTCTCAAAGATGGTACATGGGTCTCCGTCCCACCTGATCACTCCTCTTTTTTCTTCAACGTCGGTGATTCATTGCAGGTAACCATTTTTGTCCTATAATAAACACGATTTTAGCTTATTGTTCCGACTCTGACAAGATTGTCGAGATATCGGTTTTGGCGTGCAGGTAATCACCAATGGCAGGTTCAGGAGTGTGAAGCATAGAGTATTGGCTCCTAGCTTAAAATCAAGAGTTTCGATGGTATATTTTGGAGGGCCACCTTTGAGTGAAAAGATTACTGCTTTATCATCGTTAATGGATGATGGAGAAGAAGAATTGTACGAGGAATTTACATGGTCCGAGTACAAGAAATCAGCTTACAAGACAAGGTTGGGAGAAAATAGGCTGGGGC